ATCAAGAGATTTAATAAATGGCATTTTCTCTGGCAACCTCATAAACAAATCTTTCTTCTGAAATGTTTTCATAGAATGTGCCCCTGCATTATCTTGATTTTTATCTGCTTCCTCTGTGTCCTTTAGTAGCAGTATCTTATCTTCATCTATTATATGACCAGACTAGGATATTCTGGCAAGGCTGACGGTTCTAAACTGCAGGAGACAGCTTCTCTCTAAGGACACTTTGGGTCAGGGGAAAAGGATGGCATCTCTGCACACAGTGATGAATGAGGGAGACGCAGTTTGCTCCCAATTCCTCCTTGGCAATTCCACAATTATGACAGGAAGAAAGGTAAAGGGAGGAATATAAGGAAAGAAGGGAGAGAGAAAGAGATGGACAGGGGTATTTGTATGAATCGACTCTCCCTTTCTCTCTCTTTCTTGCATTTATACTCATTCTCTTTTTGAATAAAAATAAACTTTAAGGAAATTTTAAAAATCAATGCATCGTTTTTGGTTTTTGTTTTATAAGCAATGTACATTTTCCATGAGTTTTTTGAAGACCCCCTCATATATATTTTCTTTTGAAGAATTCCATTTTGCATTGTGTTGAGAGATCTCATAAACTCTTAAAAATTCAATCACATTTGGCATTTTTTTTTTGAGAGATTTTTCTCTAGGGCGTGTGCGCTCACCAGAAAGACAGAGAGAGACAGAGAGACAGAAAGCGAGAAATCACCCCCCCCCCCGGAGGATGGCCATGTCACAATCCCTTCTCCTCCATTCTCCTCTCAGGATCCTGGGCATGCACGCACTCGTGCCCTGCATGAGTTTAAGCCGCCGGGTCCGGGGCTTAAACCACGGTCAGCTACATGAGAGTCCAGCGACATAGCCATTACACCAACTGCTGGTCCCTCATGTTTGGCATTTCTAACCACTCCCAAATATCCATTTCCATGCCTTTGAGAACCATGAAGAGTCTGAGATTTTATTCTGCTTGCAAGCTAACAAGTTAGACTGCCAAGTTTTATGGCTGCTAGAAGAAGACACAAGGCACTTGCGTCAGAGACAAAGAGTTTCATTACTCATAACAACAAATAACAACTGAATAAGCTTTATGCCAGTTCCCTTTTTCTCAAGTCCCATGGGGGTAGATGGGTGAGGCCCATGCGAAGACTAAATGTGCTGTGGGTTTGTACCACAGCTGAGAAAAATCTGAGCTTTGAAAAGCCCTAATTTGATAATAAATTGCAAGAAATCTATCCAAACTGTGATCTAGAGAAAGACATTATTTCCTCCTCCCCCCACCAATTTTTTTCTAAGTATGGTGAAATATACATAATGTAAAATATAGAATCTCAACTTTGTTTTGTTTTTTGTTTTTGTTTGTTTGTTTTTGCTTTTGCCACAGAGTATGTGGGTTTACCAGAGAGACAGACAGAGAGCAAGAGAGAGAGAGAGAGAAACAGTAAGAAATCTCCCAAAAGGGGGTTGACCACCCTATAACCTCTCCTTCTTCATTCTCCTCTTGGGATTTTGGGCATGAACACACACATGCCTTGTATGATTTTCAAGCTATCATGTCCAGGACTTGAACCACACAGTTGGCCATGTGGGATCTGACACCTTAACCTCCACACCACATGCTATCCCTAGTCTCAAACATTTTTAAGAGTACAATTCTGTGGAATTCAATACATTTACAATGTTGTGCAACCACCACCATCCATCCATAACATTTTTCTCCATAACATTTTTCTTCTTGTGAAACTGAAATTCTATATTAATTAAACTCCCCACTCGTCACTTCTTCTTCCCTCTGATAACCACCATTTTGCTTTTAGTTTCTTTGATTTTGACTCCTTTACAACCTCATACAAGTGGAATCCTACAGTATTTGTCTTCTCGTGACTGCCTCATTTCATTTGGTATGATGATCTCCTCAATGTTCTATATTATAGCATATGTTCAACTTCCTTTATAAGGCTGAATAATATTCTATTTTATCTTCTACCACATTTTGCTTATT